CGCAGTAGTGGCCGCCGCGCGGGCCGGACACGCGGCCGCCGTTGCTGCGCTCATGGCCGACGACGACGTCAATCCAGCTGCCAACGAGTCGCAGGCGCTGCGCGAGGCCGTCAAGGCCGCGCATTCGGACGTGGTCCAGCTCCTGCTCACCTGCGACGCCGTCGATCCGGCCGCCCGCAACAACGCGGCTGTCGGCACAGCGTCGATCAACGGCGACGCCGCCACGCTCCGGCTTCTCCTCGCCGACCCGCGCGTCGACCCGTCAGTCGGCGACAACTACGCCATCTTTATGGCTGCCCGCAAAGGCTTCACCCCTGTCGTCGAGCTTCTTCTTGCCGACCCGCGCGTCGATCCGGCCGCAGGCGACAACGAAGCGCTGCGGACGGCAGCCATGACCGGCCACCTCGACGTCGTCACACTCCTCATGGCCGATGCCCGTGTCAATCCGGCGTCGCAGAACAACTTTGCCCTCCGCTGGGCCATGCGTAACGAGCACGCAGACGTCGTCGCCGCCCTCCTTGCGAATCCGCACGTTGCCGCCGCCCACGCCCACGCCCCGCCGCCGGCGGCACCACGCCGATGACACCGGTGCAAACAGCAGACAGCCTGGCGTCTGTCAGCTCTCCGCTTCCGTTCCTCGCCGTTTGTCCGCGCACCACCAGCGCCCTCCACTCCCCGCCAGCTGGCTTGCCATCGCCTCGCCTCGGCTTGACACATGGCCACGGTGGTGCAAGTTTGCGTGGCGGTGGGTGAGCGCGGGTGGATGGGAGGGCAATTTTTGGTGGTCGAAAACGGTGCCGCTTCCCATCCTACCTACCTCCTGGCGGGAGCGACCGCGGCTGGCAGGCTTCTTCCGGCGCACTGCCGCAGAGCCAGGCACAATAAAGGGCACGGCATGCTACTTGCCTATCTTTCTCTTCTCCCTGTCACGTTCACGGGACTCTGCCGGCTTTGTTTCACATGTAGTGGCCCGGAACCCGGCGACCACCCGCGACACGATGGATTGGGTCCTGGGCGGCAGTGGTGTGAGTCAGTACGCCACTTGCCTTATTTTTCCCACGCCAACCGCGTCACCCTCACCCCCCCCGCCGGCCTCGCCAGCACATACCCTTGTCCACCTTGCGCGCTCGAGACAACGCCCAAGGTTTGGAGTCAGACCACAACAGCTACTCGGACCTCTTGCGTACGCTATGCCCCTCCTTATCTTCTTTCCCCTCCCTCTGTTATCTCCCTCCTCCCGCTACGCCGTACAACCCCCCTCCCCCAACCTGGCCCAGCACCTGGTGGCCGTCACCCATTAACTGCTCGGCAAAACCGCACACGCCGCCCAACAACCAGCCGCTGTCCATCACTGCCAATTGTTGGCACACCCACCGCCCCCCCCCCTTCCCCCATGTCCCACCGTCCCACCCCCCCTCCCCCCCTCCCCCTCCCCCCCCTCCCCCCTCCCCCTCCCCCCTCCCCTCCCTATACTCAGCATCCTTCCTTGCTCGCCCCGCTCCACCACCCTACTGCCCTTCCTCTTCTCTGTCTGCCTTTTGCCTAACGATGGCCGCCGTACCCGTTCCCTCCCTCCCCCCTCTCTCCTCTCTCCCTCCCCTTCCCCGAACTATA